ACCCTGCCACGAAAAACCAAAAAAAAAAAAAAAAAAAGAAAGAAAGAAAGAAAAAAAAATCTGATCAGGATGTGCAATTCCATGACAAAGTCCAGGAGTTAGAGACCAGACTGGCCAACATATCAAGACTATCTCAGAAAGGAAGGAATTAAAATCAAAACAAAAGCAAGTCAAAGAACACTTGCTTTGCATACACAAAACCCGGATTCAATGTGCAGAATTACAAAATATAATGGCCAGATGACTCAGTGAGTAAAGCCATTTGCCAGTAGGCCTGATGATCTGAGTTTGAGTTTGGTCCCTAGGACCTACGTGATGGCAGGAACTGATGCCTGAAAAGCTATACACCTTTCCAAGCATGCCATGGCATAAATACATGTACACCACAAAATAAATAAATGTAATAAAAAATCTTAAGTTATGTAAAACTTTCCTGCATCAAAAGTTGTAATCAAGAACATGAAATGGCCAGACAGTAGTGGCGCACGCCTTTAATCCCAGCACTTGGGAGGCAGAGGCATGTGGATCTTGTGAGTTTGAGGCCAGCCTGGTCTATAAAACAAGATCTAGGACAGCCAGGACTATTACACAGAAAAACCCTGCCCCAAAAAACAAAATAGAAAACATGAAATGAGGAGGCTGGAGAGATCAGTTAAGAGAACTGGCTGCTCTTCCAGAAGGCCCAATTTCAATTCCCAGCACCCACATGGCAGTTCACAACTGTCTGTAACTCCAGTTTCAGGGAACTGGGACCTGGCACTCTTACACAGATATACATGCAGGCGAAATAAACCATTAAAAAAATGCTTTAAAAAGGAGTGTGAAATGGTAATCCAAGAAAACAAGAAGCTATTTGAAGATTATATATTAAATGAAAGTCTAAAGTCAAAATATGTAACTATAATAAATGATAAATACAAACAGTGAAATCTAAATATAGGCAAAGGATTTAAAAAGCAATTCTCCAAAGATGGCATACAAAGGGCATATCATTAAACCAAGCATATGGAAATCAAACCAAATTAGGTACCACTTTAAACCCACGAGAACTACTATAATTAGATAAAAAAAAAGTATTGGTGAGACTTAGGGAAATCATAACGCTCACACATTGCTGGGAATTGTGTAAAATGGGGTACTTTTGGAAACTAATACAGCAGATCTTCCACTATTTAAGAGCTACCAAATGACCCAACAACATTCACAAGGAAAATTTTTATGTGGATATTCAGATCAATATTATTCAGAATAGTGTAAAAGTCAGAGCAAGTGAATAGTCACAAATGAGTGGATAAGTGTGATACATCCACAGACTAGATTATGTCAACAAATGAAGCAAATTAGGCTGCTCTCCCAACACTCAGGAGGTTGAGACAAAAGGATCACCAGTTGAGGACACCTTGATACACAGTTTTGCAGCCAAGACTCATCTACAAAGTAAAAACTCTAACCTCAGTCACATCCATTCAAGAAAATGATGCACTGATACAACATGGATAAAGTCTGAAAATACTGCTAACTGAAAAAATATGGACAAAAGGGCCAAACATTGCAGAATCACATTTACATAATATCTAGACTAGGCAAACTTACAGAAACAAAAAGTAGAGTGGTTTCCTAGTGAAGGGAATTTAACAAAAAGGCTGAGAGGAATGCCTGAAGAACACAAAGTTTCTAAGAATATAGAGTATTATAAAACTATGTGGTGGTAACAGAACTCTAAAAAGATTCTGAAAGCCAATGAATTGTATCGTTTAAGTACATGAACTGCATGGAGAGATGGCACAGTATTTAAGAGCACTTACTGCTCTTGAAGAGGTACTGGGTTCAATGTCCAGTATCCAAAAAGCAGCTCATGATCGACTGTAACTACAATACTGGGAGATTCAACACTTTCTTCTGGCCTCAAGGACACTGGGCACACATATGGTACACAAACATACATGCAAGCAAAAAGGAAACACACATACACATAAAAATAAATAAATCTTAAATAAACAGGTAAAGTCAGATGTGGTGGTACATGTCTAATAATTCCAGCAGTCAGTCGGGAAATGGATACAAAGAAATTCAAGTTCCAGGTCAACCTAGGCTACAGCTATCAGAAAGCAATAGAGAACAAGAGAAATTCTCAGCAGATAGAGTGTTTGTCAGTCCTTGGAACCCAAGAACTAATACCCAAAGGTTGTCTCTGATCTGTGTATGTGCAGAGTGGGTGTAAATGGAGCAAACTAGAGAACCAGAGCATGGTAGTGCACGCACATAGAAATAGTTAATCAGGGGCCTGAGGAATATCTTGGTCCAGAAGGTTGAAGTTAGCCTGGGCAACAAAAAAAAAAAAAAAGTCTAGTTTTATAGAAAAAATATTTGAAAATAATTTAAATTTACAGTGGTAGTGTATTTACCTCCAGCCGTGTACGGGTATCTACCTTCAATCCCAGCATTTTGGGAGGCAGATGTGTGACTTCCAGGAAGGTGGAGCTCTGTGATTTTGCTCTACATAGTTCCAGTACAGTGAGGGGTATATAAAAAGACCATCTTGGGGAAGAAAAATAAAAGTGCCTACAAGCGGCCCTAGATTTTTGATCCCTAGAATGGGGGAGGGTTACAGCTGTATATTTTCAGTAGAGAGCAATTGTGGGATTATCTGTTCCACTGTCTGAAAATTCATGGTATCCCTGAATTCTAACAATAGTGTTCTTAGTTTGTCAACTGTTCTCACTCCTATTCTTTATTTTTACTGCTGAAATAATTTCTAGCATACACAAACCTTGTCAAAATTAATTTTCCTTCCCAAATATACTATTCTAGCTGTGTTTTAAAAAATTGTAAACAAAATCAAAAGCCAATGTTTAGGAAATCCATGCTTTCTGTTTTCTAATTGGATTACTGAAGATTTATGATATAGGCATCTTACCCAGCAAAAAAAAAAATGAGGCGGTATCTTTGAATTATAAATTTATGTTTAATCATTGGTCTGATTTGAAACTAAAATGACCCACACTGGCTCATGTTGAGATGTTTGGTCCTCAACTAATGGTACTGTTTCTTCTAGAAGTTTCCAGTCTCATTTTAAGATTTGTAATCCATTCTGAGTTGATTTTTTATAGAGTAGAAGTAGAGATAAAGTTTCACCTGAGGAAATGTAAGTTCCTAGTACCATTTATTGAAATGTTTGATGATTGAAATGTCCTTTCTCAAATGTTTGATTTTAACTCTTCTGTTTGTTGGAAATCAGATGACTATAGATGCACTGTTTTATTTTTGGCATCTCTTTTCTATTCCAATAGTCTATGTGTCTTTTTCTAGCCAATAACAACCTGTTTGGGTTACTATGTTTCTATAGTATATATTAAAATTAGCTGTTATATTGCATCTAGTTTTCTATATCCACAGGATTTCTCTTACTACTAAGGGTGCTTTGTGCTTTCCTATCAATTTTGGGGCTGTCTTAATGCAATTTTCTGAAGAGCGTCAATATAATTTGAAGGGAACTCCATTTAAGTGTAACTTGTATGGACATTTTAATAATACTAATCAATGACATTATCTATTTTTCATTTGCATTTTGTTCTCTCTCCAAATTTTAATTATTTATATGTATATTTATGTGTCTGTGTGTCTGAACATGTATATGTGTGTGCTTTTAAAAACCAGAAGAGGGAAGCCTACAGATGGAGTTACAGATAGTTGTAAGCTACCCAACATGGGTGTTGGAAATCAATCTCTAGTGCTCTAGAAGAACATACAGTGGTCTTAACCATTCTCTACAGTCCCTTCTTCAATTTTTTAATCGAGTGTGTATTTTCATGTAGAACTCTTTTATTAACTAAGTTAAAGTAACTTATAGGTATTTTGTTTATATTGTGAAGCACTTGCTTTCTTGATTTTCATGGCAAGTTTAATATTACTGTATAAAGTCAATTTTGTTTCCTTTATGTCAATTTTGCATAGCAATTTTGCTTCCCTTAACACTTTATTTATAGTAAGGGGAAAAATGCATATCATGGCATGCATGTGGAGAACAGAAGACAACTTCGTGAGTTGTTACTGTTCTGAAGCAAAGCGTCATAGATACTAGGCCTGCCTCAAATGTGAAGGCTGTCCTTGAACTCCTGCTCTTGCCTCCACTCCTGAGAGTGCTAAGATTACACACATGCATCACCATGCCAAACTACTTACTATTGGTCAATCTAAATTTTCTATGTCCTCCGTGTTCAATTTTGGTAAGTCAAATGTCCAAAAAAAAAGTTTCCTTTTTCGGCTTTCCTATTAGCATATAGTTGTTCACAATAATCCACACTGTTATAGTTAATACTTGACCTTCAATATTTGTTTATTTGAAACTGCATTTATTTGATTATATTCCTTGCTTTTTCTGATTATTCTTAGAGGTTTATCAATATTACCAATAAAAAATCTTTTACCTCACAGATCTTTTTTTTATATTTACAATTTTTCATTTAATACTGTTCTCACTATTACTTCTTCCTTTTACTAATTTTGTTTGGTTTACTCTTGTTTTTCTATGTCCACTAGATGCATCATTAAATTGTTTATTTAAAATCTAAATTTTATTTTGGACTTATTGCAATAAATTGTCTTCAAAAGTATTGCTTTTACCATAGCTCTTAGGTTCTGATATATCATATATTTACTTTTGTTTGCTTGGTTTTTTTTTTTCTTTTAACCTACTCTGCTTCACTAATTGTTTGTATTTTTTTAAAGATATTGGTATACATGTATATGCATGAGTATGGACAGGTAAACACCAAACATCTGTAAGTCAGAATAGGCACCCAATGCCTCAGAGCTGGAGTTGCAAGCAGTTCTAAATGCCTGGATTGTACCGTGTGTTTGAGGATCTGAACTCCAGTCCGCATGATTGTCCACCAAGATGACTCAGAGTTATCTATCCAGGCCCCCATTTTCATTTATTTTGAGAAATCTCCTCTCTTTCTCTAATACTAATTTTTCTTGAATTATTGGATTCCTCATTTGCAGGGTTTTTTTTCTCACAAACCCTATTGCTTTGCTGAATTTCTCATTCATATCATGAATTCTTTTCTAAACATTGTTGAGTCGTCTGCATTCACCTGAATCTTATTCAGTTACATTACATTCACTCTAAAGAATTCTTTCTTAATCACTTCATTTCTATTTTTCTCCTTGGAGGTCTAGTACTTGACAGCTACTATGCTCAGCTGTCATTTAACCACTTTTCCTGTGATTTTTTTGGTGAGCTTACAGTATCGATGTATTTGGCTGATCAGGTATCGCTGCCCTTTTATGAGTGACAATCATAGAAGACAGTTTTCTTTGAAAATGTGCCTCTAGGCACCAGTTTGGTAAATTATGTAGGCTTTAGCTCTAGTACCACAGGATTTCTCAATGGCTTCTTTTATGGGAATTAGTAAATTTAGATGTGGCTTAAAGGGTCAAAAATCCTTGTCTCCAAATGCAACAAGGATAAAAAGGCATTCTAGAGTCAGATATGAGGTACCCAAAAATATTGGTAAGCTCTCTGTGGTTCCAGAAACATACAAAGCGGATATTTTCCTAAGACTGGTGGCAGGTTCTTGGGCCCACCAAAGGTTCCAATGAACAAACTGGTACATGGCACTCGACAGAGATAGGTGACATGACTTGAGATAACTATGTGGATGCTGGGACTGGAGTGGTAGATTAGAATCTTGGACAGATTGTGACAGGAACCTGACTGACAAAGAGCCTTAAGGAAAAGAAGTGAAGCCGGGCGGTGGTGGCACACGCCTTTAATCCCAGCACTCGGGAGGCAGAGGCAGGTGGATCTCTGTGAGTTCGAGGCCAGCCTGGTCTACAAGAGCTAGTTCCAGGACAGNAAAAAAAAAAAAAAAAAAAAAAAAAAAAAGGAAAAGAAGTGAAATATGGTCACCATACCAAAACATACCTGGTAAATCAAAACATCATTTTGTGGTAAATAACTGTATTTGTGAATTAGAAACCATTCTAAATAATCAATGTATCAAAATAAAATAGCAAGAGTGGGACGAGAAAAACGTGCACTGTGCAAGCACCCACATAAAAGGTGACATGAATGGTAAAATGAATTCATAATCTCAATTCTGGGGGAGGGAGGAATAAGGAGCAATTCAAATTCTCACATATTACAGGAACAGAACATAGGACTGTGGAGCTGGAGAGATGGCTCCACGGGTAAAGGCACTTGACACAAGCCTAACCTGAGTTCTATCCCTAGGACCCACATGCTAGGAGAAAAGCAAGCACCCAAAAGTTGTCCTCTCATCTGAATGAGCACACACACAATAAATAATAAAAGCTATTTTAGACATCTACCCCCCAAAAAGTATAATACACATTCACATAAAGCCATGAATACAAGTATTCACAGTAGGACTATCACAGAATAAAACCAAAAGCAACCAAATCACTATCAGATTGTAAATTAATCCTGTGTTGAGTAAAAGAACCTCTACAAAATAGGCTACATTTAAAATTTCTATAAGTTTTAAAGTGTTTAACTAAGGGTGAAAACCAAATACTACATCAATAAATAAAAAGAAATCAATATAGTTAGTTCAGGAAAACCCACCTGTGGATCTGATCTTGTCTACTAGAACGAACTGGAGCTAATCCATCTATTTCATCAAAAAATATTATAGAAGGCCTCATCAAATATGCCTAGTAAAGAAGAATTAAAATTACTTAATTTTTTGCTTTTGTATTTAACTTTATATTTCCCGAAAAAGGAACATAAAAACAAATAGTACAACATGCAGCAAGTATTTAAAAGTACACAATGGGGCTAAGGAATGTAGCTGAGGGGTAGATCATTTTCTTAATGTTTACGAGAACCTGGGTTCAATCCTTAGAATCAAAGATCAAAACAATGAGAACAAACAACAACACAGTAAAAAGGAAACAGCAGCAGCAGAGTCAGCCACAAGGTATCCCACAGACCACAACCACTATTTTCAGGCATTTGTTCATAAAATAAAAATTGAATTCAGGACTTCACAGATTCTAAGAATCTACTCAACCACAATCCGCACACTGCCCAGTCACTAACACTTTTGTTTTAACATAACTATATATCTAAGTAGGCTTTCATATAAATACATAATATTTGCTACTTTCATTTTTAAAAGTCATAATTATAAGCAAGTGTTTAAAAACAGAAACAAACATTCCATCGAGCCCTACTTAGCCAAGAAAACTATGAAATAGTAGCAATAAAGCAAATATAAATAATCTCTATAATTTAGGGTACTAAGACTAACATATATTTGTAACTCTAGCATGATATGAATAAAAACTCTTTTTTTGTTGTTTGTTTTTGAGACAGGGTTTCTTTGTGGCTTTGGAGCCTGTCCTAGAACAAGCAAGCTCTTGTAGCCCAGGCTGGCCTCGAACTCAAGAGATCTGCCTGCCTCTGCCTCCCGAGTGCTGGGATTAAAGGCGCGCACCACCACTGCCCAGCTGACCTAACAGCCAAAAAGGTTTAACTTTTAACTCACTAGACAACATGTAAAAATTCCCATACATTCTTCACTCTTCTATTACCGGTATCTTACATTTTTTAGTCATTATTTTTCCTTCAATTATTCAGATGGCTTGTCTGAATTAACATTAGACACTGAACACAACATCTAGATCTTACTTATTCCTCTTTCTATTATCTAGAAAACAGCAATTTTGACACTACTTTTTTCTTAAAAAATAATTTCACTATATAGCCCTGACTGTCCTGAAACTTGCTATGTAGACAAGGATGACCTCGAACTCAGAGATTCACCTGTCTCTGCCTCTCAAGTTCTAGGATTAAAGGTGTAGAGTACTCCCTGCTCTACACTATTAACTTGCAAATGACATTTGAATTGTTTCACCCATTATATATCAGTTTTTTGAATAAAGGGTATTTTGTTTTGTCTTGAGATTCTCATTCTGTAGACCAGGAGGATCTGGATTTCAGCATAAAGACTAGGCTGGCCCCTAAATCTCAACTGCGGGGATTAGAGGTGTCAGCTGGCAAACCTGGCTTTCACCATAGAAATGAGTGGCTAATAAATAAATAAATAAATTCTTGATTGTACTTTTTCTTCACACATATTTACTGGGGCATAATCAAATATAAAATGAATTGCCAAATAAGACACATTTCCTTCACTAAACCCAATATTTACATGAAAACTAGCATTAGGACTATTTTTTTTAATTTATTTACGCTCAGTTTTATTTATTTATTATGTATACAGTATACAATATTCTGTCTGTGTGTATGTCTGCAGACCAGAAGAGGGCAGCAGACCTCATTACAGATGGTTGTGAGCCACCATGTGTTGCTGGGAACTGAACTCATGGCCTTTGGAAGAGCAGGCAATGCTCTTAACCACTGAGCCATCTCTCCAGCCCTAGGACTAATTTTTTAAGGTATAGAAAAATTGTGGTTTGCTTGTTCTTTGTTGAGACAGGGTCTCACTCTTTAGCTCAGATTAGTCTGAGACTTGATAGCAGCCCTTCCAGCTGACCCTCCTGGGGGCTAGGATTATAGTCTCATGCCTCCATGCCTGGTTTTCATTTCCTAGGCTCACCTGATCCCTTCACCTCAAAATCAGGTGTGAGTTTTCCTTTACTGTAATGCTTACTTTTTTCCTGTGATTCTGGGAATTGAAACCAGGGCCTTACACACACAGTAATAATAATTAGTAATAAATATCTGGAACTATAATTGAATAATACCATGTTCTGTTTTAGAAAATGACATTTTAGAAGTCACTGTTATATTTAACATACTCATTTCTTTTCATTCTGCCTTCTTAAGGCACTCACTTAATTTTGAATTCTGTTAGCCATATATTTATAATCTGGTGTGGTCTGGGTAACTATACCTCAAACATTTCTTAAATTTTGTGGCCTTTAGGGTGGCACTTAAATGATTAGATAGTGAACTATTCAGAAGGTAGGGTCCGTCCTTAGGTCACTGAGGACACATCCAAAAAGAGATCACGGGAACCTGACTAATATTAAATATTTCACTTTTTCCTCGCTGGCTAATGAGCTAAAACATTAACAGTTTGGTTCTGTCATGTGCTCCACCATTATGTGCAATTTTAGCTTAGGTCTAAACCCAAGGGACTAATAATGGACTATGACCACCAGGTGAGCCCAAATAAACTTGTCTCTTCCTAAGCTAATTGTCCCAGGCGGTATCTTACTACAGTGACAGAAAAGATTCATATAACTATGACCATAAATAACATATCTCATAAACATTCAACATTTTCTGTCTATACCATTTTCTCAATAAAATTATAACCTAAGATTACTTTACATCCCCGGTTTCCAGTGGTACCTAACATAGTATTCTACACACAACAGTCACCACAGTGTTTTACGGATCATAAATATCCAAATCTTTTAGAAAAATATGTTAAATATAAGCAGTTTTCTACAACCGTGAGTGAGTTCTGCACAATTCATGAATGTTTCAACCAACTGAAGATAAACCTGTTTTTCAGACAATCTTTATCTGTAGCAAACACATACAAAGTTTTTTTTTTCTTAGTCATTATCTCTACACTAACACGTGTGTCCACCCTGTGCCACAAATCTATGGACAGTCCAAATCAAAATTTTAAACTTACTTAAAACAAAATAATAATGTGTGTATCATTTTTTAACTCAATTGTATGGTTCTGAAGTATGAATTTTGCCAAAAACATGTTCTTCCAATATCAGTTAAGTTGGACATGTCTACCAAAACTAATTACATAGTATATATTTTATATGAAATGTTATAAAATATGGGGGATGATGTTAAGCATACAAGAAGATGTATATAAATACTTTATTATTTTATATACTAGATTGTATATAAACTAGAACATCTGTAGATTTTCTATGTACGAGCAGACAGGAACTGCTGGAACCAATTTCCCACAGGTAATAGAAAATAACTATGACTTTAAGGCTTACAATTTAAATTACTGATCTTAAATTTTACATACTAATTGGAATATATGTCTCCTCACAACTTTATTTGAAGATAAAATAAATATTCTTTTTACAAAAGAAAAAGATACCCTTGAATTAGCTGATTTTTCTTACCTGATCAAAAAGAAGCCGAAGTTGTCTTTCAGACTCACCAACCCACTTGCTCAAGCAATCTGCTCCTTTACGCATGAAAAAAGCCACCTTTTTGTCTCCTTGACTGCATTCATTTGCTAATGCTCTGGCAACCAAGGTTTTACCTGTTCCAGGAGGGCCATAAAACAAACAACCCCTAGAATAAGAGAAACAAAAACATTATTTAAAGTTTATACCAATGGTTTTTTTTTTGTTTTTTTTTCTGTTTTTTTTTTTTTTGGTTTTCGAGACAGGGTTTCTCTGTGGCTTTGGAGCCTGTCCTGGAACTAGCTCTGTAGACCAGGCTGGCCTCGAACTCACAGAGATCCGCCTGCCTCTGCCTCCGGAGTGCTGGGATTAAAGGCGTGCGCCACCACCGACCGGCTTACCAATGGTTTTATAATCAAAAAAATTCATGAAGATTATCTAAGAGAATTGTTATCATCAACAATCACTAATTTAAGATTTCCCACTCCAACATACAATTTTAGATAGCTATGTAGTAATTCTAAGCACTGATTGATCTGGAATTCCCCTATGTATGCTATGAATATATTTTATTAGCATGGGTTAATAAAAAAGTTGCTTTGGCCTATGGCAGGGCAGAATAAAGTCAGGCAGCAAATCTGAATAGGAATACAGAGAGAGAGTAGGCAGAGTCAAGGAGAAGCCATGTAGCTGTCCAATAAGACAGACAGAGACAGACACTAGAACCTTACCAGTAGGTCACAGCCTCAGGGCGATACACAGATTAATAGAAATGGGTTGATTTAAGATATAAAAGCTAGCTAGAAATACCCCTAAGCCATTGGCCAAGCAGTGTAATTAATATAGTTTCTGTGTGATTATTTGGGTAAGGGAGCCGGGGTTGAAAGAACAGCTCCTTTCTATAACTGATAAGGCTTTTTCTAGTATATTTCCAAGTTTCACTTTGGTGAGCCCTCAAAGGACCAAATTCTTGCAATCAGAAAAGGGTTAAATTAATTCTAGAGAAATAAGTCTAGAATTTCACATCTCCATAACGAATTTCGTCCTGTGCCTGAAGGACTCAAACAGGTACAGTTGAAAAACAAACCTTTGTGCTCTAAATAAAAATTTCTAATCATCATTGTTAGAAAAAGTCAAACAAATATATATAAAATTTTTATAATCAAAGGCTAATTAATTGATATTCAATCAGTTAACAATAACAGTATAAAAATAAACACCTAAGGCATACCTTGGAGGCTGAATTTTAAATTTTTCAAAAATTTCTGGATATAAAAGTGGAAAAACTACCATCTCCTTCAGAGCGTGTATATGATGACTTAGTCCACCAATGCTATCAAACCGCACCTTGAGAAAAAAAGGAGGAAATTTAATATAAAGTGATTTCATAGGTTCTAAAATTTTGTTTGTTTTTGAGTCAGTCTTACTATGTAGCACTGTCTATCTAGCTCTGTGTACAACAGGCTGGGCTTGAACTCAGAGATCCACCTGCCTCTGCCCGCCAAGTGCTGGAATTAAAAGCATATGCTACCACACCCGGCCCATGTTCTATAAATGTTTTTAATTTATGAGTTCCATAATCCACAAGTACATCCTTTCAGGGGTTTTTGAGCATGCATACAAGTAAGTTTTTGGCTGCACACAAATACATGTAGAAAAATATAGTCAAAGTTAAACTCAGAGTCAAAGGAAACTATCTTTTAGTAATCGAACAACCCAGGAATAAGATCAGCGCCTAACTGGAAACGTTAGCAAGTATCTATAGAAGGTGTCACATTTATACACTAACACTTCCCATCCTTCTGCATCCCCAGCTGGTGCAATAACTGCTCCCCCAGAGAAAACTTAGTTAATGGATAGAGCCAGAAGACATTTTCTACTACTGTGACTCTCTCCAAAACACAACATAATCAAACAAAAACTTACTCTTTAGTATTTAATTCCTCTACTAAAAAATAAATTTAATTTTTCCACATAGGAGACAATAATGAAGAAACAGGAAAGCACTGATATACCAGAAGTGACAAAAACTGTTTATTTCACTCATAACAGTTACATCAATTAAGACTTTATAAAAGTTGTTGAAAAACTGCCTAAAGAAAATTTTATAGAATGTTAACAGTGATTGCCTATTGGAACCTGGTGGAGCCCTTTCCCTACTTCTCATTCTACCATGGAACTTGGAAATGATTTATAAACTATTTATTATGGCAGGAAAAAGAAATTATAAAAAACTAATTATAAAAAATTAAATTATAAAAAATTAAAGCAGATCAAAACAAGAAACATTTTTTTTAAAGTTAAATTTATATATATATATATATAAATCAAATTAGAATTGACTGGCAGAGACAGCTAAAGTTAATAGACTTAGAAGAGTAAAGTAGTACTGGCAAACCAAATCTAAAGATAATTTCCTTTAGTACTAAATAATTAAACAAATATTTTTACTCTATGACTTTGGATTGAGGACAACTACATTTTTATCTTCAATAGTATACTGAACTCTAATCTGATAATTTCTTTTAAATCACATAGAAGCAGTTAAATTATGTATGAAGATGAAATAGACCCAGAAAAACTCAGATAAATTCTTGATTATGACGGAATATTACAAATTACCCCAGCATGAGACATTATAATCAGTGGACCACGTCTGTATGAACTTGGTTCTTCTCAGACCACATCCCTTCCTTGGAGTACAACTATCACTTTTCCACAGTGGCTTCAACAGTATTTACACTAATGACATATACCTAAATTTCTACCATATATTCCTACCTTATATCAAACCACTCAGTTGCTTACAAGTGCCTTATACTTATGGTACATCAGAGATACCTATAACATACCTGAACTCAACTAAAACCCCTTCCCATCTTATTCCTCCTCTTGTATACTCTCCTTCAGATAATGGAACCACCCAATGCCACCAGGTTCCAATAGGCAATCACTGTTAACATTCTATAAAATTTTCTTTAGGCAGTTTTTCAACAACTTTTATAAAGTCTTAAGATATCAAGACTATCAATTATCTACCTATCTGCTTAAACCAGAAGCCTGCACAATATACTCAGTTTGTTTCTGTCACTCTCCAAAAGCAATTAATTCACTAAAATCCATCATATTTGAATACCTTAATTCTCTCAAGTCCATTTATCATTTATTTCTCTGCAATTCTTTTTTCTATGGTAATTTTGCTATCCAGCTAAGTCCCTATAATACCAACTTGTTTCTCTTGAAACTCATTAGCAACATCACAGCCAGAGGAAGGTACATAAAATCCAAGTCTGATTATAAAATCAGGTAATTCCAACAACAACCCGTTGCTCCTAGTGTTAAACAGAATGGTAAAACCCTCTGAGCTTCATTTCCTACCTGCTGAAGATTCTAGTAACACTGGAAGAAAGAAAAAACTTAAGTAGCATGTGTGACCAAGGTTTTGAGGACCCAAAACACACACATGAAACTACTAATATTGGTCATATCTGAGTTTCTACTTCTTCAAGTGTTGTTTTAGAAATAAGGAAAACCTTAAAAACAAAAAAAAAATAATAAAACTACTTCTGGAAACATTTACAAACTTACTGATTTATCAATATTCATCGGATCAACATCAGCCAAACTCGCACCGACTTTCACTCGTTCTCGGAGAATGCCACTTGCTAAATCTTCTGCTCTGAAGTTCATAGGCAAACACCTGAAATTTACAAAACATGAAAATAAAGGCATGAAAAACTTCACATGTGAGACGGTAAAGGCTCTTGCCACCAACCTGAATTGGACCTACAAGATGGAAGGCAAAAAACCAACTCCCACAAGTTGCCTCTGACCTTCATGTATGTGCATAATAATGTACAAAAATAAAACAAATGCTTAATTTTTTTAATCCTTCACACTTCAATGTCAAAATAAGTAAAAAAAAATCTTTGACGTGTTTTTCGTCTTTTTGGCTTATCATAATCCAGAAAACAACATGAAAAGGTCTGATACTTTAAACTGCATTTTCTGGATGCTTTCAAACTGACCAAAACCAGTCATCCAACAGGTAAAGCAAACATCAGCATTAAACTATTTTCTCTAAGAGTTTAACCTCTCCCAATAGGAAATCTGGGAGCTTGGTCCTCAGTGTATGATATGAGCAGTAGGACTTCTAAGAGGTGAAGCCCAGTCAGAGGTCACTGGGGACACACTCCAAGAAGAAGGGAATGTCTCATATGAGACCCTACTCAGTGTCCATCTTAGTCCCCCACTTCCAAATACTGCACATAAGATATCCTCTCTTCCATGTGCTCCTGCCATAATGGCATCTGCTATGATGTGATGCAGCCACAGGGAGAACAACGAGAACCAGCACCATATTGTATGTCCTCAATTTCATGCTAAATAAAATCCTTTTCTCTACAAATCACCTAGCCTCCAGTGTGTCATTATAGCACAAGAATATGGCTTAGTACAGGTAAAAAAAAAAATCACAATATGGCATAGCCTCAAAAGCAGAGTTCTATGGTAACTCCAACTTTACTAACATTTCTAAATCCTAATTTACCTTTAAAATCATATTCCCAAAGTACGTTATCATAACCTGGGGATACAGCTTAGTGGTACATACTGTACCACTAGTTCTGAGTTTAATTCCAAAACCATCATTCTCTTTCTCTCTCCCTCCCTCACTCCCCATCTCTGTCTGTCTCTATTAGAAAAGAATATTGAATAGACTATTTAAATGCCTGTATTTAGGACAGGCAGTGATGGCACACACCTTTAATCCTATACTCAGGAGGCAAAGGCAGGCGGATCTCACCTGGTCAGCATTGGAAGACCCTGTCTCAAATAAACAAACAAACTTAAGATTCTTTCCTTATATCTTTTTCCCATCGTCCATAAGATTTGCTTTAGTACATAATTCATATTAACACAAACCTGAAAATGGTTAGCTAAAAATGTGGTATTTCTACAATTATTTATATGTGGACAAATGATAGAACCACTAAACAAAATTATCTATATTATAATTGTAAGATAGAGTATTGAGTCAGGCAGTGGTAACACATGCCTTTAATTCCAGCACTCAGGAGGCAAAGGCAGATGATTTCTGAGTTCAAGGCCAGCCTGGTCTGTAGACTGAGTTCCAGGACACCCAAGGCTATGCAGAGAAACCCTGCTTCAAAACATTAAAAAAGAAAAAAGGCAGGAAAAGAAAGGAAGGAAAGAAAAGAAGAAAACTTCCTCGACTTTTAAAAAAATAACTCTGTGACTCTTGCCACAGTTTAACCAGTCAATTATTCTACTTAAGCAGAGATCACCAAAGGCAGACAACAATACAAACAAAACAAAGTTAAAAAAATTTTAAAAAGGCCAAAATTCTTGTGTTGGATGGTGTACACATTAGATCTCAGGCATTCAGTAGTGTTCAGCATCCTTCTCTGGATGTTAAACTCATTTTAAGTGTAAAATCGGCCTCATGAAATGGATGTGAGCTGGACGGAAATACACAGGGAAAGATGACACTACCACAGAGACTACCCTGATGTTCTTGTTCAGCATTAGTTGACTTTAGTACTGACACACTAAGTAATTTAAGGAACCTATCCCAAGATTAGATACCACCTGTAAGAACTGTAAAGTAATATTTAAAATACTGGGGCTGAAGAAATGGCTCAGAAGTTAAGAACACTAGCTGCTCTTGCAGAAAACCCAGATTCAGTTCTCAACATCCACATGGCAGCTCACAACTATCTGAACCTCCAGTTCCAGGCATCTAACACTCTCTTCTGGCTTCCTTGGGCATCAAGTATACACATGGTATACACATGAAAGAAAACACACATATGTAGGGATAAGTCCCACCCCTTAGGGGGCGTGTTCACCTCAGGCTAAAGTTTTCCTATAAATTTGGCGAGTGTGCTCCCAGAGCTCGCTTCTGCTTTCCTGGTCACCGAGGGAACGGTGGTTCTGTGAATCTCTGTGAGTTCAATGCCAGCCAGGCGGTGGTGGCATACGCCTTTAATCCCAGCACAAGCTGTGAGTTCGAGGCCTTCAAGCTTCAAGGCCGACCTGGTCTGCAAGAGCTAGTTCCAAGACAGGCTCCAAAACCACAGAGACCACCACCGGCAGGAACCAGTCGTTGCAGGTAAGAGAAAAAATTTTCTTTTATAATTAAAATGTCTGAACACGTTACCATTCAAGAATTTAACAGTTTTTTTAATTGTACCATGTGGGAGATTTTACAAGAGGTGTCTATCACCCCACCTCTATGGATCTTTCTGGGATTCGTAGTTTTCCTTGGCACTATATGGTTTGATAATAGAAATATGATAAAGTCTTTACGAGCAGAGGTTGCACGCTTAAAAACAATTGAGAATGACAACAATCTTCTCAAGAATCAGTTTGAAGTTCTCCAGGAGGAGAACAGATCTTTGTTTAACATGACTCGATCAACTGAGGAAAATTTAAAAAAGGTACAGACTGATATTAAGGAGAAATTCATTACTATGGAAGAGGGAACAGCTGATTTGGATCGTAAGCTCCAGTCCCTTTCTGTAGGAACTGAAACATTACAGGCTGATATTAAGGAGAAATTCATTACTATGGAAGAGGGAACAGCTGATTTGGATCGTAAGCTCCAGTCCCTTTCTGTAGGAACTGAAACATTAGTGGCTGATATTAAGGAGAAACTCATTACTATGGAAGAGGGAACAGCTGATTTGGGTTGTAAGCTTCAGTCCCTTTCTGTAGGAACTGAAATAGTAACTGAGAGAATCAAAACTGCTGAATGTGACTATCGGATTTTGTCTAAAGCTTATGACAGATTGGCAGAAAGATTGTCAATACAAGAAGGCACGGTTTATGCCATAAAAATTATGTCCAAAGATGAGAACTTATCTCTAATGGACAAACTTCATACTTTAGAATCCTCAATGAAGGCTTTGGAACATAATTCTGGACAGGAGATACAGACATTGCAGAAGGCAATGGTGAATAGAATTGAAAAGATTGAGGAATTTCTAAATTCTGATGAAGAAGAACAAACGGTAGAAAGGCAAATTTTAACTACATCTGTGGGTAAATCCCTCCGGGACAATTTCCACAAATCTCTACCTACAGCTCTACCTGCCTTTCCAGTAATAACAACAGAGAAGGTGATTGGTTCCAGAAACCCTAGGGTCATTAAGGAAGATACATGGGAGCATGTCCGTATGAATGATCTCAAAGAAATTAAACAGGCTGTCATGACTTTCGGGATGCATTCCTCTTTTGTTAAAGAGATGCTAAAGTCTTGGGCATCCACAAGCAGAGCTACGCCATTGGACTGGCTCCAGCTGAGCTCTGCAGTCCTTGAGAGTGGGCCGCACTTAAAATGGAAATGCTTGTTCAGGCAAGAGGCTAGACTTTTAGAACAGCAAGAAAAGGCGAAGGGAAGTGACATCTCCCTAGATAAAATTCTAGGTGAAGGACGCTTTTCTGACCCTCAGGAACAAGCTAATTTGGACGAAAACACACTCTCCATATGCACTACAGCAGCCTTAAGGGCTTGGGACAGGGTACAAGACCCAGGACAGAGAATGGAATCATTTGTCACAATTAAACAAGGTCTGAGAGAACCTTTTAGTGATTTTTTACAAAGACTTACTAAGGCTGTGCAAATAGGGATACCTGACCCTGACGCAAGACGTATAATGATTGAGTCTTTGGCTTATGAAAATGCAAATGTGGAATGCAAAAAGATTTTGGGGCCTTTAAGGTTCAGATCAGCACCCTTGGAAGAATGGGTCTTGCATACACTGGATGTTGATACATTTGATTATGGCACTGAAGCATGGGTAGAAGAAGCAATTTCCAATGGTAAAAGGAGACACCAGAATACCAAATGTTTTAATTGTGGCAAAATGGGTCATATGAAAAGGAATTGTAAACAACGGATCTTCAGAAATAATAATAATGCATCTTCTAGAAATAACAGAAATAGGAGGACTCAGCCTTCAGGTTTATGTAGAAGATGTGGAAAAGGTAGACATTGGACGAATGAATGCAGGTCTACAAGAGATAGACAAGGCAACCTGATACAGACGGGAAACGTGAGAGGGGGGGCCTCACAGGCCCCCATGGCAAACATGGTTCAGTCATTTCCAGTTTCTGCAGAGAACGTGCCTCGTCAGGACAATTAGGAAACCTCATGCCTACTGTTACAAACGATAATGAGCAGAAAGATGAGTTACGTGTGTTTTGGCAAACTTCTATAAATGATCAAAGACCTAAGCTGAGAGTGTGTGTAAATGGCATTTTTATTACTGGCCTGCTGGACACAGGTGCTGATGTAAGTATCATTACCCCAGAATCTTGGCATCCGTATTGGCCTCTTCAGAATGTAAATGTTCAGCTCCTGGGAATTGGAACCCTATCTCGAGTAAGACAGAGCACAAGATGGGTTGAATGTATAGGGCCTGAGGGACAAATAGGAAAATTAAGGCCATATGTAGCCAATATTGCAATGAATTTATGGGGTCGTGACCTATTACAACAATGGAATACCCAAATTAACATTCCTGCTACTTCTAGAGCCTATATTTCTGAGAATAATATTAAAAGATATTACAAACGGAGAAAACCGGCCATTCGGGCCATACAAGAACAAGTAATTGAAGCCCCTTCAGAGATACCAACAGCCTTGCCTCTAAAATGGTTGACTGAGAAACCAAT